AAAAATTTATCATGACAATTTAAATATATTGCATTTATTTAAACTTAGATAGAATTATGTTTTTCTTATGCCGTAAGTATTTTTTTATTAGAATTAATCATGTTTGAATTGAGTAAAATTATTATAGACAAAAGTTCTTCGTTTAGTACAGTTATATTTACGATTTGTCATTTATAATAATTTTTTAAATTAAAAAAATATATAAAACTAAACCCACTTAACCCTTTTGCATCATTACATGCAACTTTTAAAATCAAAAGGATGACGAATGATTCAAGAATAACCAAGGGTTTTTAAAGCATAGAACCGTCATATTTTGCTCTTATCCATGACCAAGATGTAATCCAAATGATCTCCATCAGCCTGTATGCATCAAAGACTGTTATCGAAGCATTAAAGTAATACATCTTTGGGAAAAGAGGGAGAAAAAACGAAACTATGGTAATATAAATATCTTAGTGGAAATCTGTATATATTACGTAAGGAAACAAAAGAAATGTTAGTGGTACGTATACTCTCGAATTTAAAAAGAGGACAAATTTCGTATATATTATCTTGAAGTTTTTCATTAAATGCCTATGATATTCCTTTTTTATAATAGAAGGGATGGATAATGGTAGCGCAAGGTCTAAAGAAGAACAGAAGATCACGCCGAAGTGGGCGTAAGAGGAATTAAGGGGATGTAATTATATTAAGGATGTGATTTTGAAATATCACGAGTGAGGCAATAAATAGTACTTGGCAGGGAGGGCACACTTCAACTGGTCCTCACCTGAATGCTATATATATATACCATCAGATCAAGAAGGAAACCCTTGATGCTGATACTCTATCTGCATGTTTGAAACTTGGGATATGGAAGAGCAGTAGTGGTCACTGGTAATGTTTTAAAGAATATTAATTTTGATAATGTCTGCAATTTATAATATTAATTTTATTATGTAAATTATTAATGTAGGATTTCTAATGAAAGAATAATTATACAAATATTTTTAGTTCTGTATCCAGGTTTTGTTTTACTTTAAATTGTAGGTATAATCAAATTAAGTTTTTATATCTTTTTAATATTTCCTTTACTAGCTTGTAAAATGGGAATTAATAAAGAAAGACATGTATTTATTATTTTAAAAATATAAAAAATATTTATTTTTATTAGTAATTAAAAATTGAAAATATAAAAGTTAAACATGTTTAAACTCATTTATTATAATTAATCGTGATTGCAATCATGTCATTATTAATATTTTTTTTAAGTGAAAGCGAGAGTGTATTCTTCTTTATGTCATTATTCTTTATAAAAACTTTAATTGCATGCTTATAATTATGATTATGGACCACAGTTCAAAACATTGACACACTAATGCATATTTGTCATCAACTCTTCGTATATAGAGCGATTATTATGTGTTCACGAATTGGAATAAAACACACCAATATTGAATCTTAAAACCCGAATCAACCCCCTCCGTTTACTGTATTTGTCATTATCCATGGAATCCAGGTCAATTGAGTTTTATCTCTTTTCTGCCAACATTTCATATTCATATGGTGTATGGGAATTAATTACCTAAAATATATTAATAATAGTATTAAAAAAATTTAAAATATTATTAGTGTAACATATTTTATAATATCAGACAATTGCAATATATTATAGATATTATAAATATTAATTTAATTGTTATAAAAATTAATAAATTTTATTAGTATTACAATCTATAACCTAATTATAGTATAAATTTTTTTAAATTATCAGTGTATTATAATCAAATTCTAATATTGGATATCTTTTAATCACTAAAAAAATTGTCATTTACCAGCACTTTGATGTTAGATAAACTTCCACTCGTACATATATATTTTCTAATAAAAATTAAATTATTAATATAAATACTTTGAGTTTGTATTAACAGTATAACATGTTACACCAACAAATACTTTTATCAATATAATGACTAAAATACACTATTAATACATAAACATTAGTATAGTACATTATTTATCAGTACAGGCCATTAAATTATTTACTAACAATTTAATTTTTTTAAATAAAGTTTATTGGTACTAATAAAGCTTATCCTAACATTTTAATGTATTATTACATGGAATTTATTTTGTATTAGAAAAACTAAATCAATATTAAATATAATTATTTAACCGAATATAAAAGTTTAAGGTAATTAATTTATAAAAGTATTTTGTCTATGGCATAATTTTTTTATATTTTAACAATCACTTAATACAAAACACGAGCAAATTTTGATAAAATATATTATATTAGTACCTAAATAAAAACAATCAATTCATAACATGTGCTTTAAATTCATATTTTTATCCAATTACAATTATTAAATCTAATAACTTTTTTATAACTTTGGTCTCAGAAAAAAAAAGAGTAAAAGAAAAGATCGATAATTTTATTTTCTTTTCTTTTATTGATAAATTTTAGTTAAATAAAATATTATTAAACAAATATTTTTATTAATAATTTGAGTATCACATTACTATAGCATTAATATATATATATATATATATATATATATATATATATGGATGCATTGAAAAACACTTTTTATTTGTTCACTTTTTGAATTTTACAATTTGAATGGGATTAAATCAATTTATAATTAAATACCTAACAATGGTTGGTCATATTAAAGGTAGATTACCATTCTACACAAATTTCATGTACAATGTTATGATTCGAACCTAATTCCTACCCTAACTTGAGTTAATCATACAACTATATAAGCATGTATAATGTACATGATATGTAAAAGATAAATATCCAAATTTATCTCAGATAAATTTAGTATAACACACATGAGTAATTCTCTTCAATATAATAGTTTTTAAAAAGGATCAATATAGTTTATATTTATAATTTTTAGAAACTAAAATGTTTATTTTTATATTTATAAAAATGAATATACGAATAATTCAAACGAACTTAAGTAAAGTCTGGTTCATATCGAAGTCGAAAACTTTGTTTTGTCCTCTTAAATTCTCACTACAAGTTGGATTGCCAACGTGGTTTAAAGTATAATGCCCTTCATCATTGAATTCAACGTTTTAAGTATACAGCATCCATGTGCACTGTACTTTAATCTTCAACCTTGATTTGTCAGTCATTAATTAGAGTAATCCATCCAGCCGGTACAGGTGTTGGCAATGGCTAAGTTGGATCAAACTGTGGTGGGGAGGATTTTGTGGACTTTCAGTTCTACTGGAAAAGACACACGACAATGAGATGCAATCAATGTAACTATAAACCCTAAACCCTAAAAGATTAAAATATTCTTAAGTTTTACTGATAACTCTCCGTAGTCTAAAGAACTTTTATTTTGAGACCGTTTGATTTTTCTTTCTTCAAATTAAGGGCCTTTTTCCTCAACCTTTTATAGAGGGAAAACGTATCCCGTGAGAATTTAAGAAGAATTTATCTTGATTAATTATCAAAATATGTAGTTAATGAATTTTGATTTTTTTTACTTGAGATTAAAAAAATTGTCGTCAATCACCACCTAAAATTTTGTGTCAGAAACAGAGCAACCATTTTGACTATCTAGTACGGATCATAAATTAAAAATGAAAAAATATATAATTTATTAAGAATAATATTTTACTAAACTTAACGCTTAATATTATCGTGTATTAATAATTTATAAAAGTATAAGTTAAATTGATGGACATGTCGCACGGAATAAATCAGGTTTATAAAGAACAAATGTTGAAAACCAATGCAAGCTAGCAGCCCCTATCTCTCAAAATATTCAACTACCTAGCTAGGTAGATATGGCAACATACATTGTACAAATAATACATTGTAATGGTAATGCGTATAGGAATTACACTTAAATATTTATTTTCGTTTTATTTTTTCTCTCTTTTCTTCGAGAATTAAGTTCCTTCTCTTCATCTTAGGCTGCTGCAACCTCAAGTGGGAGATGAACATTATCTGAACAAGGTATTGCATCAATGGCACCATCAAAGGGGCTATCATTTTATATATTAAACAAATCCAAGAGAAAAATAGACACAATATGCATAATGAGAAAATTCAATTTCCTACATAAATATTGTTTTGGACCATCCTGCAATATTACACACTTACCTACAAAATTGCACACTTTCTTTCTCCTTTTTTTCTTCCTTTGGGAAGCATCCACCAACCATGATCTAAGTAGACCCACCACAGGAACGTCAGGCATCAAAATAAGAATGATAAATATTCTCGCACGTGCTTTTACCATAAATTAATTTTATTTAATAAAACATGTATAGAGTCTGTTTAGATAAATTTATAGATAAATCTTTATTTTAAAAAATAATATAAAACTTAAATTTAACTTATACTTTTTTATTTTTTAAAAAATACTTTTATTTAACTTTTTTAAAAATTAAAGAGATAAATTACATTTAACTTTATAAAAAAAAATTATTATTATTTTTTTCTCCTACAAATATTTTTTTTTGTAAATTCATTCAAACATGCTGGAATATATAACATAACATCTGAAGTAAGTCAAGTTTAATTTATCCCATCTGAATTAAGCTTCAGCGAGGAACAATACAAGTCGGGGGAAGAAGCCAATCAAAATTGAAAAGCCATGAAAAAAGACCACTTTCTGAAACCTAGGCACTCATTGTAAACAAACAACGGCCTCTCTAATCTTCCATGAAGACTTCAATGGCTGCGTTCTGATTCAGCAGCAGCTTGCTGCAGGAATGGGTCACAATTGGCAGGCTTGTGGCACGACACATGTTTGGAGCCGTAACTTCATTTGATTGGGCTATACTATAAATTAACAATTTTGTGGGTTATGATATAAAATTCTAACCTCAAACTTTTAGTTGACCATACTCATTTAGTAGATTACAAGTAATTCATCCCCCGAGTTTATCAATTTTTTTTTAATTTTATGAATGATAAATTTGCTATAATTCATGGTCTCAGAAATTTTAGGACCATGTCATAACAACCCTGAACGAGCGAACTCCTACAAATACGTGGTCTTAGCAGCTTTCCAACAATGTTCAATATCGTCCGCAATCCTCTTAGCATCAATAGATGCACCAAGTAGGCCACGTTTTGTGAAACCCACAGCATACAGTCCATTTTTACCTTTCCATCCATTTGGAAAAGCTTTCCTCGGAAACCCATCTTTCTCGCAAAACATGTCGGTGCCCTGGTGACAAAATCATTTCAATACCCCAATCATTATATATTAATGACATATCATTATTTTATACAATTTTGTTATAAATAAAATATAAAATAAGATGAATGACGACGTGATTAAAAAAATCAAATAAATTATCGTATAAATTTATTTTTTGAAATTTTTATGCCTATGATAGTTATATTTCAATGATGAGATTAGTGCCAAAACTAAGCCCACTAGCTACGGTCCAAATTAAGTAAGCAGATTGAAGAAGGCACCTTCAACCAAGAGGGTACATTGCTTTTGTAACCAGTTGCCAGAATGATGACATCGAAATTCTCTGTTTTTCCATCTACAAACTCCACCACATGCTGTGCTACTTGTTTAATTCCGCGGCAAATCTATAATATGAGACAATATAATATTGGAAAGTATAAAACAATATATTTTTTTACAAAAGGCAATTTTGGTTGATTATGACAAGAAAACATAGCATGGCGAAAACTATTTTGGATTTGAAAGGGGATAGGAAGAATCTAACCTTTATTTTTCCACTTTTTATGAGAGCAAGTGTCCCAACATCCAAAACCGGTGTTTTGCCGTACAAATTCTTGAGCTCAAGAGGGCCAATTTTGGGACGATGAAGGCCAAATCGAGCTGTGTCCCCGAGCATCAGATGTGACATTAGAAGTAAAAATTTATCCACAAGACGAACGGGGAACCACTTGAGTAAGCTCATGGATAAACCAAACGTGGATTTCCCAAACATCTGCTGAGGCAAAATATGCACCTGCAGTGAAAAATTAAATAAAATTATTATTAAAATAATAATAGAAAAAAACCCTTAAAGTTGCTTGAGAACCTTTTCTAGAAAATTAGGGACATGAGACAAGTGACCATCGTCTCTTCATGCTTCAAGAGATTTCGTAAACACTGACAATGGTTCTATGACAAAAAAGAACATCCTATCAAAGACTTTGGGATGCTGACCGGGGACCATGGTTGCGCATGCAAACGGATTCCAATAAAGTAAGAGAACAGTGACAAAAAAAAAGATTTTTTTTGAAAAAAAATTCAGAGTTGTCTTTATACAGAGAAAATATTTAGGTTTTATTAAAATAATTAAATTAGTTTTCGAAAAGATACAACTTCTGGCATACTAATTCTTCAATAGTGAAAATGATGTTTGCGGTTCATATTTTATCTTCATAGTAACTTAGGAGACTAATTTGAACGTTAGAATATTTATTAAAAAATGAAAAGTACTAATATAAACTTCAAAACTATTTTTAAAGTGTTTAAAGTGATAAATTTTATTATTTTTATTATTAATATATTTATTTTTAAGATGTATAATAAAATTATAATACAGTTTTATTATTTTTAGTTATTTAAAAGTAATCTTAAAAAAAGCTAGTATTAATAACATTGCTTAAAAATTAATTTGACCAACAAGATACACGATAAAAACTGTAGGCGTGGTCATCATCTTTAAATAACTAATACCGTCTACATCTTCGGAACCTGGTTTCCTATCATTATTTAGTCTACAATATTAGCAATAAAAACCATACGTTGACACTTAGTGAAAGAAAAGAAATATGATAAAAAAAGTAAAAATTTAAAAAATTGATAATTTGAATATTGTGTTGACAAGAAATAAAATAATTATTATTATAAAAATTTATTATGTGAACATTATAATTCTGAAGTGAGTCTCAAAGCACTTAATAACTTCCGATTAGAATAAAAACATCTTTAAATTTGCTTATTATAAAGTTAAAAAAATAATTTTTATTTTTTAATAAAAATATGTAACTTAAATTAATTTAAATATGTATTTTGATAGTATTGAACGGCTTAAATTTAAATTTATCAAAATCAATTTTATTCAATTTTTAAACTAAACGGAACTTTTCAAATTAGATTTAGGAGAAATTATCAACTTTTTAATGCAATAATTATATTATTATCAACTAAGTACCGGTGATGGAAAAATCATATACGAAGATCTTCAGTGTATGATATTGTAATCATACGGCTACAAGTAGATAAAGACAATCATATATTCGACTTTTGGAGTGAATGAAATAAGAAGAAGGGAAAGATAAAAATGAAAAACATAATGTGTAGGTGTGTGTATTAATATAATTGTTGTTATAAATATACTGACCGTATCTCTAACTACAAGGGATGGGCGAGCATTATGATTGCAGAGATCCAAACAAACCTCCATGCCTGAATTCCCACATCCAACCACCAAAACATTCTTCCCACAAAACACACTCCCACTCTTATACGAGCTTGTGTGTAAGATACGCCCTTCAAACTCATCTTTTCCTTCAATTTGAGGCACAACTTCCTCAGCATTCTCCCCAGTTGCTACTATCAGCCATTTGCAAACATATTCACTCTCCTCCTTTTTCACTCCTTCACGAGTCTTCACCCTCCAATACCCACATCTGTGATCGAAATTGGCACTCACCACAGTCTTTCTTAAAGCCGGTTTTATACCAAAATGATCAGCATAAGCCTTCAAGTAGGCCAAGAATTGTTGTTTGCTTGGATAAGAGGGAAAGTTTTGTGGGAATGGCATGAGAGGGAGTTGACAAAATTGCTTTGGGAGATGAAGGCACAAGCGATCATAAGTCTTGAGTTGCCACATTGAAGCTAAGCAATTAGCCCTTTCAAGAATTAGGCTTGGAATACCTTTCTGTTTAAGACATGCTGCTGCAGCTAGCCCTGACGGACCAGCACCCACTATCACTGGTCCTGGAACCTTTATAGGACTTTTCATGTTAGCCATATTTACTCGGCGATAATCATGGACACTTTTTCCTTCCTGTTCCTTCAAGTACTCCATCAACAGCAAGAAAAGCCTGAGAGGGGAAAGGGAAGGAGTGAGGGGACAATTTCAAGAATTTGAAGCCTTAATAATCTTTATGGGGGTGCACAAGGTCATGATGACTCATGACTAAGTGAAACCACAGAAGAGAACAATGTTAGTACTTTGGGTGAAGTTAAAACTCTTCTTTTAAGTGTGTTTCCTCTCCTCAAGTAAGAACTGAGTAGATGAGATGCGGTTTGACTTAATCAAATCCGTATGGTTTGTAAGGGTCTAATTTGCTTCAAAAAACATGGGTTGATGAGAGTTTGAGCTATGGTTTTGTTGAGTGGAGGAGAAAGAAGGAAGCAACAGAGTCACAGGATATAAACAGAACCAAGTAGACATCAAGTTAAAGGGGTTTTGTATTGTGGTGGATTCGATATATACATAATGTATATATATTTGAATTGGTGACTGCTGATGTGTTTTGAGTGTTAAGGAGTTTGGTTATATGTGGGACATCCCAGTGTTAATAATAACTAACATTAACCAACAACAACTTTTCATCTCCTACAAAACCATACACAAACATACTGAGAGGGAGCGAAATTTCTGTCTTATTAGGTACAAGCAACTACTCAAATCCTAGAGATGGTATCTTAACTTATTTTGATATATATATATATATATATATATATATATATATATATATATATAATTACAGTTTTGCCCCTCCATTGTGTTTTATGTTCAATTTTTGTCTCAATAATTTTTTTAGCAATCAAATCTTATAATTTTTTTAATTATAAAAGATCCCTCTGCCTGTTTGTCGTCCAATTAATTAAATAAACTTATAACTTCATTAAGTAAAATATCTTAAGGAACCCACTAATGATTTCATTCTACATTAAATTTAAATATGTAATTTTATATTTAATCTTCTATATCAGAGATTAAAATATATTAAACTCATTGTTGTATAGGTTAAGATGTTAATAAACTTATGTTTGTAACTGCATGACAGAATGATAGAATGCCTTAACTTTTAGAAATTATAAAAAATAAAGAATTCGGTGGATTGTTGATAAAATTACTAGGGATAAAAAATGCATATTTATCATAATAAATGTCTTTTTAACATGTGTTTAAAGGTATATATTAAGAATTTATTTATAATAAAAAATTATTAATTTTGTATACACCTTTGGACATACTAAAAAATCATTAAAAGAATGAAAAGTATAATTAAGTTTAAAATTATATATATATATATATATATATATATATATATGGGATCTTCTTACATTATTGTAAGTCTAAAAACTTTTACACCAACCTTTTATTTGACTTATATTTAACTGGTTATAATATGATATTTAATGTAAAAGTATTTAAACTTATACCATTATAATAAGATCATTTCTCCATATATATATATATATATATATATATATATATATATATATTTAGTTTTCCTACTTACTCCCTGTGAGCATCGGCATAATTTTACTTGAACTGTTTACTATTCCTAGACACATACTGGATGCAAAATGATGAATGACCGCATATAAATTGACATAACTATATCTCAACGCTGGCCCTCAAATACATGCTTCTCTCTGCAGTTCAGCTTAGAGGTTTTGGGACTCGTTCGCTGTCTATTTCCCTTTGGAATTTAGAAAGCTTATAGGATTAGAGACTAGTTACACATGATTCATGGTCAACATAGAGTTATGCGTTAGAGAGTATCATGAATTTAAGTGTCCTAAAAGGATATTCATTACGTTATTGTAACAAGAGATTTTATGCCATTCATTACGTTATTTGCGTCTAACAACAAAGTGTTCTGTGAGCCTTAGACCAAGCCCAGGCCTTCACTTCTCCTCAGCAGAGCCATTAAGAATCTCCTTTTGACAGCACGCATGGCATTATTTTGTACTGATTTGTATATAATACATTTCTGAAAGCCGATTTTGCTGTATCATCATATATATTTGTTAATTAAGCATCTTCATTAAGTTCGGAAACAAAGTCCTTGTAGTTTGGTGGCATGGCTCTCTGCGCAAGTACCCATCGAGAAGAGGGGTGCTAAATAATTGGTTATCACAGTTTGCTTCCAGCTACCTAGCAAATAAGTACCAACGTTATAATATTTTTCTTAACACAAAATCTTGCAGAATGATGTAAGTTAGAGAGTTAATGGTGAAAATTATTCATGAATTATTAAAGCTCGTCTTATTAAATGCTCAATCAAATTTATTTATTTTAATAAATTTACATGAGTCAAATTTTATAGACTTGATATTAAAATTTTAAATAACTTTTGAGTGTACAATGATGCAAAATATTAATTTTATATCTCTCTTTCTTATTAATTAGTAATATAAAAGCATCTAAGTTCACCGCCATCCTAAGTACGCTCTTATACTTCAATATATAGAACTGATTTCTTATTTGGTACATATATATATTGATAGGAATATGGCCACATTTCTGAAAAGTGATGCAAGTTAATTTAGTGTTATTAAATCTCTCTCCGTGAGAGTGTGTGGTAACAGATGAAACAAATAAAAACTGCAAAGTTAGGTCAGGCCTAGGGTGCATTTACTTGATCCTATCGTATGACCAAAATAAAATATCATAAGAATGGGACGCTTGTAGAGTAGCTATCAACCAATTAAGTGATAGTGCCTTCCCTTCGAGTCAACTGCGAGACAGCAAAGGGTCTCGCTTTAGATTATATTATTAACAGCGACATGCAAAGTAAAAGATAAGTTTAGCAATGAGAGAATGAGAACCCCTTTTTGTTATTCTCTACTGATCCGTATCGACTTCAATTGGAAGGCAGAGGTATAACTTCATATTATAATATCGCCACACAAATGAAAATGGCCTTTAAAAGGCAGTCACGAACCCGCTTCTTTCCTTTTACTCTTGTTGGCCTCTCTCTCTCTCTCTCTCTCTCTCTCTCTCTATATATATATATATATATATATATATATATATATATAATGAGAAAGGGGCTTTTTACATGAGAGAGAGGAAAAATCTTTGATCATTAAAATCTCATTATAAATAGTTAAGATTAAGTCAAATTAACAAGATCCAAATTTGTCTCTTCCTTTCATAAAAAGACTCTTCTCATTAGATATATCTCCTGTATAGGTATATCTGTAAAGAGAAATCAAATTATTTTAATATAAATTATCAATAATATATTATTTAACAATTTTTATGTAGTTTTTATTTTAAAACTAATCATTAAGTTAAATTTTGCTATTATATATAATATGTTTACAAAATTTTAAATTAATCTAAAATTATTCATTACATTATTTATGTGCATCAAAATTAATATAATGCTAGTATATATGTTTAAAAAATATAAAAATTTCTATTTTGATAAAAATTAAATAAAAAATTTAAAATATATAACTATAATTTAACATTTCAATGGATAAAAATTATATTTGAAAAACATATCAAATAAAAATGTTCATTTTATTTAAAAATATCAAAACAATCTTTTTAAAATTTTAAAATCATGTAATATTTAAAAAATCACATAATTTTTTAATTTAATTATATAATTTTAATTAATATTTTTCTTATAAACGTGACTTACAGCACAAAAATAATAAAATCGATTACAAAGTCTAAAAAAATCAATACTTAAAACATCATACTTAAGATGAGACAATAAAAAAGAAGAAATAAGATCTAAAATATTAGAATCACATCGTTCTATATTATAATCTTTAATTTTGATTATTTATTTATAATTATATAATCTAAATATTTATCATCCTTATTTTTATATAACAGATATTCTCACTGGATATAAACAATAATCCTCGTGAGAGAGACTAGCATTTCTAACCTTTTCAAGCACTTAATGTACTAACTAACTCCTACGACTCCTATAGGGTTCTTTTAAATGTTAAAAGATCAGTTTACATTATATATTAGAAGTCAATACACACAGAGGACACATATGAGATTTATTATTGAACATTTATTTGTTTCTTTTAGAAATAATATTTTCACAACTTATACCTTTTACTGTATAGTTCATTAAATATAAGTGTATGACCTTTAGAATTGTGTCTCATCTTACTTTGTCAAACAATCTAAAAAACGAAATATATGAACAACGTTATTCTTCAAAATATAGTTATGAACATTTTCCTTTAGCTTAGAAAATAGATCACCAGACTTCAATTTTTAGGAAATGAAATAGCAATTGACTTGTAAATTAGAAGATTCCAAGTTCCAAACATAGTATATAAATGTATAATGAACAAATTCATGCGTAGAGATCACATTTTTTTATTCATGCTCACGAATGTTGAAACTAAAGCACTATCCATGCGCAATGCAATTATTCTAAAGAGAATATATAGCATGCTCGAGTATGGTATAAGTATAAAATATTCATCAGAATCTTTTTGCCAAAAGAAAAATTCATTGACGGTGAGGGTTGAAGCATGATAATACTACAAATCGGAAGAAAAGCACTTCCAAAACTCTTTTTTTACTGCATTTGGCTTAGCTTTTGGTAATAGAACCACATTCCACACCCTAAGTAGATAAGGGTGGAACCTAAAACCTTTTATCCTAAGCCATTCCATGGATAGATAAATTTATTTAAACAAAACAAAGGTAGATTGGTAAGCATTAATTAGTTAAAACTTTTATTTTTATTTCTCTCTTTCTTTTATATCGTATCATCAATTATATCTTCATTTTTTTTTTCTATATTTCTTTTCTCGTCACCATTTTATAACCAAAAGGCAGATGTCAACCAATATCTTTTTTTTAGTATATATATACACACACTACATGTCACTCACTAGTTTAATAGTAAACTTTACTTCTCTGCATAATGATCACTTATGAGCATCGGATTCTCTGGCTAATATATCACATCTGGCTGCTACAAAAACGACAAATTATGGTGGTTGACTATTTTCAAGTAATTTGCTAAAACATTTTTGTGACCCGCTAATTAAAATGGCTAATGGACTATGCTACTT